TTAACTTTTTTAAATAGTAAATATTTATACTCTAAACTGATTCTTCTGATAATTTTAAGATAACTCTCACAGCCACACGATTTGATTCGTATTTTCTCCTCAATTTAATGCGGCATTTGGATTGATTGTCCGACGTTGAATTCTGCTCACTCAACATCCATATCACCTTTAATCAATATAATATGAGAATTAAATAGTCACTCACAATCAGTCAATCAGGTAGTTTAATAGTAAATATATGGTGAAAATGTGGACCATTATTCTTTTTCCTCACAATTCTAGCATTATTGTAACGACATACCTATATTTCATTTTAATAAATACTTCCTTATCAATATTAATATCAAACATTTTATGCAGCGTGTTCTCTTGTCTTTAAGATATGCTTAAAATGAATCAGATCTTTCACAAAATGAGAAGAAGATAAATACGTGTTTTGTTCCCGAGAAATGATAAAATTACACCGTTTTTAATAATATTCACTCTCTTACCCAGTGAGAAATGATTCGTTTCGACGTCGAATCGGCATCGACACCGTCGAATTGACGTCGACTCGACATCATTTCGACGTCGATCGACATTTCTCACTGGGTACGCATCTCGATTACAATTATTTCGCCATAACTATACCAATTTATAAACGCTAATTAGAAGTGATCAGATTTGGAAGCGCGAATTTATTCTCCAAGTTGAAGAGAGGCGCATGTATTTTCTCGCGGATGCACCGGATATCACACAAGTTCCTTCGAAAGTCTAAGCAAGAGCTTGGTGCACCTCGAATGAGATCTCTTCAAATGGCGTGAGTCTTATAGAAGTGTCCAGTTGATTCTTACGATAAGATTTAAGTGATTAAGCATTCCTCGACCACACATACAATTGTAAACGGCTGTACGTAATGTAAAATAATAAAAGCAGAAAAAACAGAGAGAGAGAGAGCGAGAGAGAGAGAAAGAGAGAATGTATCTATATGTATACATAAAAAAATATATATGCGACGTTGTAACGCGATGCGTGCGATGTAAATTTATTATAAATAAATTATTATAAAGCAGTGAAGAGAACGTTTCTCGAAAATATCTATAAGTGTTATTAAGAAAAGTTCTATCTCAATTATTATATTTATCGCTGAAGTCTTTGTGCAGAAATTAATTGAGCACGTGCATGAAATGATTAAAATTTTTAAGTGCAAAATATTGACGTTCAGAAATTGGAAATTAGAAACACGAGGAAACATTCGAGAAGAAATAATGACCCTAATAACGAATTATTAATTCATAATGACTGAACTTTTAATAATTAATTAATTATCTTTATCATAGATAAAGTGAGGTTTAATATTATAATGCATAAAATAATTGTTTGATTTTTCTGTCCCCCTGCCGCTTTCATTCCTTTTACAAAATATCTCTTTCGTTCCTTTTATAAAATTATATCTACAAAATGGTATTAAACTAAAAATTCTATTATAGCAATACACACTTACGTTGAATTTTGAAGATTAATTATTTTAACTTCTAACAGACGGTCCAGTATTTTAAAATTACTTAAAAATTAACTTCTTATTGCTATTCGCTCAAGATAGAGGACACCAGTAAAGCCAAGAGGTATATAAATATGTGTACGTGGAATGTTTATTATACGTGTATGCACAAGTGTCGTATATACATTACATATATTACGCGTAACGTCGTTCTTCTGCACGATACATAAATACAAGGTTTAAATACACTATCAATAGAAATGGGTCGATCAGCTAACAAACGCTCTTTATTGGCTTCAGTACGTTTTCAGAGAACTGTCCTACTATGTTGCCTCTCGGATGGTAACATGCTACCACGACACACGTACCATCCCGTTTGGCCATAGCAATACCCATTTCAGTCGTGCTTTTCCAAACAATTTGCGTAAAGTGGCCTGTAAGAGAAATAAAAATATTGCAAGGATATTTCATTTATAACTTTGTCACAATTTTCAGTATTTTATTTCTTGGTATTAAATTGTTAAATAAGTTTGTCTGTACTGTTAAGTAGGTTAATATGTAATTGCAACACGTATTATAAATTTTCTTATAGCGGATAAATATGAAATTGAATCAATCAATTATTTTTTAATTAATTTTTTATACATTTTGCACAATTTCTATTATATTACATTTGTATCCATTTTCCTATTGAATTATTAAATTTGAGATATCTAAGCATATGGAAGTAATATACATATACGTACGATACATACATGTGTTGAGAACTTTCGGTTCAATGCCAAATTTATGTTCTTTTTTCTCGAAATACCACTTTGATATGACTTCACGTGCAGAAACGATCAGTTTAGGATCGGAGCACTGCATCGAATAAATATTTTCGCCGTATGGAGACGACGATTGAGGTATCAGTTTATTTGTGTTTAGCAATGTGTTTGCCCAGGCCTGCGGATAAATGAACATACATAACGCATCTGATTTGTATGCTATTTTCTATCATTTTTCTTCAGCTGCATTAAAAATACATTGCAGTAAAATATGCAGATGAAATTATAAAATTATAATATGTTGCGAAAAATTACCTTGGCCGCGGCTGTCAAATCTGGATTTAATCTTAAATCTGGTACACGATGTCTCCTTCGATATTCATTATGAACCAGTAATGCTTCCTGCTGCCACGTTTGCTCGTCTATGTAGTGTTGCTTCAGATCGGTGAAATTAATCCGTTTTGCAGGGCCAGCATCCGCGGGTGGGAGAACATTCTCTGTGAAACTGCCTAAGAAATTCCCGGCGGGATTGTAATTACAAACAACATAGACCTCGCCATTTCGATTCCTAGCCATTCCCACTCCTAACTCAGTACTGTCCCTCCAGATCACTTGTGTAAAGTGACCAGTCTTCAGTGTTGTAGGCTCCTTTCCATATTGATGCTGAGACTCTTCAGCATACCTACAACAGGTAAAAATTCCCTTGTATTATATTTACATATAAATTATACAATTATCTTATAATTAATAAAAATTCATCTACGATGCACATTTTTTTCAGAATTTTAATTTATTAACTTTTAATACAAACAAAAAGTAGTTGACTACACCAGACAATTCAATAATGAAGAAAATCTAATTAAATGCTTAAAATGATAATTTAAAAATCGATACATTTTTATTTTCGTTCGATTTTGTATGTATAAATAAAGAGAGAGCAACATTTTTCTTCCATCATTATGCCAATTAATTTAAATATAATTTCAGTGTTATAATGTGGCCACCATAACATAATGTTTAATGTATTAACGATAAAAATCCACGATAATCTCACCATTCGTTCACTGGTTCCTCGCCTCCGACAATAGTCTTTGGATTGGAGCTCCACATGCAATAGAGATTCTCTCCATAATCAATGTTCGCCCTGTGTTCTAATCTACCCCTAGCTGCCAATATATTAGCCCAGTCTTGACTTGTCTTGCACAGCTGAAAATCAACACCGACGCCGTTATTGATCGTTTTCAGTTAAAGTTGTCAGCAAAGACTCCTCCACGTTTCCGAGAACGAGGCAAGCGTAAAAAATCAAGTTTCCTCGATTCTCGGAAGTTGTTCAGCGAGGGTTGCGACTTTATTACATTATTTTATTGCAAAGGAAAAATCGAGACAGTAACCTGCTTGCTGAGTCGTAACGGAGGTACTCCATGCCGCGATCGGTAGAAATTATGCGTGTCGAGGCAGACGTTAATAAATTCCTTTGGGGGCCCCGATCTGCGCACAGACGGTTTACGCGTGTCAATCTTTGTTATCTACAACATATAGAGAGAGAGAGATTCGTATAACGGATTAACATCAAACAACGAATTCACAGATTTGTTAGTAAAATCTACGAGTATACCCGAAGATTAGAAATTACATTATAACAAAACTGCAACTTGCACTTTTCGAACGTCACCATTGAAGGTTCTAGATTTAATTTATTTATATCGTTTACAATCTGACATTTTGCAAATAACAAATCGACTCATTTTTTAAATTATAAAACATATATCGATATGCAGCAATGATATTGTATTGTGTACCTCCAAGATTTTGAGGACTTAAAAAAAATACACACGTTGTCGTTTAATTGCGAATTGGGCACAATGCCAATGAAGCAAATACATATAGTAATATAACGATATGAGTTGTAAAAGCCAGGCTGTCCTTAATAACTTAAATGCGGAACCAGCTATAGAAAGAAACTAACCGGCAAGAACGATTTCCCATCGTCCTATAGGAACACGATCATCTGCTACACAATTAGGATGCTCGTAGATAAACTACTCGCATTTCCGTTTGCGTGACCGCTCGTTAAATTTCTCTTACTCGCTAAGAAAATTTGCCGAGTGTAATAAATGACTAAGGTGTAATGAAGAAATAACGCAACTTTTTTTTAAATATAACTCCGATGATTAAATTAGAGATCGCAATCCGAAATAGCGATAATTATCGTGGTACTCCGGGCTGACGATAGCTTCAGAGCTTCGCGACAATCATCTGTTTAATTGCCTATAATTTGCACGATGTAGGCGGTGACTGAATAAATTGGAGCGAAACAGTAAGCAATATTGGACGATTAAATAACGTTTGCCAAATAATCGTTGGAAAATTCTAGAAAAATAAACAATATTTAGAAATACAGCATTTGTAGAAGAAACGAAAAGAGGAGAAATTAAAATTCAAACAAGTTCCTCCAATTACTAGTTATTAGTGCCAGATAGTCGGCTGAAAACTTAGCGGTTATTGAGCTCGGTATTTGATGAATATACATCGGTTCGCGCTACAAATCGCCTTGCCGTTTTGTAAGCGAGGCCATTAGCGTAAGTGCAAAAACGTCCCGCGCGTATGAAGAACAAGTCCAGCGAATGAGAACGCGACGACACGCGCGCGTGGAAAATGGAGCGGAAAAATCGGTTCCGCAAACGCGCCAAGTGCAACTGGAACCTTTGACAGATCAGTCATCGCGTGCGTCGGACGGTCGTATCTCAATGATCCACCGGTCACCCAGACAGTGCAGGTAAACGGTGACTCTCGAAAAAGGAACGATCCTGAATCATCGCGAGGTGGCAATGCACCTTTCCGCAAAGCGAAACGCATGACGTTTAGGCTCCTTTCACACTGCACGCAAAGTCACGTGTAGCGAAGCCAGTCGTCGAAGAGTTACGCTTTCCAACCGGCTAATTTGCCAAGTAGGTTGAAACCAAAAGACCCCTAACATAAAGGGATTACGGTAGATCGATTGTAACGAAAAATTAGCTACCGAAGAAATCGTCACTAGGCAAATCAACATTTTTGCTACTCGTTCATATTCTCACTTGCAATATAAATATGTCGATATTTTTTTTTACTTATCTAGTCTAGTTTATCTGGTATAATTATACCAAAAAGTATCAAGAATCAGATAGGAATAACTATTGACTGTATAGATAACTTCTTATCTTCACGAGAAAAAAATGTATTACGATGTAAATCTAAGCTCTTACAAAATATAACACTTCAAACGCGTCTGGATACAATTTATCATGTAGTAGCATGATATAATTGCTTGTTACGTTGCATTGCAATATTGTTAGCACGATCAGTAGTTTGCATCGTAATACTATCTTTCCTTTAATTATATGCGCGACGTAAGCATTTGCGTCATACACGTGAAGATATATTTCTGCTGAGAAAACCTCTATCGCCTTAACGTTCAAACCATCTACAAATATTATCGCTTTTCGATCTTTCAGACCTTAATTTTTCGCTTCCTGCAAGAGTTCGGAAATTTAGGTAATAAAAATTTAAGATGAAAAAGGAATGTTTACATTTTAGAATTTCAAAATCGTGGGACTTAGATTTCCTCGTCTCTTGAAGTTATTACGATTTTAGAACTCTGCGTGTACATACCGAACGTTTACCTTGAATTCTCGACTAACTTTAGATTTTCGTTTGTGTTTTAGCTCTTCGGAATATCAGTGGCCAGTACTGCAATAAATGCCGATACCTGTGAGGACGAATATCTCGCAGAATCGGGAGATGCCGACGAGGATCTAGCGCTGCTACAGGACATGCCATCGCTTCCTAGACTGCCATGGAAACTGCCATGCAAGGAATTCGACAACGGGCCCGGTGATGCTGGCGATGCCGTCAACGGAGACTTCGATCTTACCGAGTCTGTCCTCGACCTGAAAGTAGATCGATTACATGGTGCACGAAGAAATACACAGCACTCCTTTTTGCTCCAGACAGCATAGTGACGCATGAACACTGAATGCTTTAAATAAGCAGATCGAATTTATTGAAATTTTTTTTGCACTAGAAGCGATTTCATACGAGCGAATGTAGATCAAATTTTCCTCGAATTGAATGTGCTTTAAGAATTCCTTTACAATTTCTTGTTAGTTGTTTAATGTAGCGTAGAAGTTACAAAGGAAATCATTAAAATTATTTTAACAGTACTGATTAATAAATAATTAGTTTGATAGAAGTAAAACTTTTAAAGCACACGTATATACAACAACATTTGAAATACATAAAATAGTTACATACAGAGATTTGTAATTATTAGTTTAATAGTATGAAAAATAAATACAACTAAAGTATTTTTTAAATTAATTGAAAATAGTTACAAATACTAAAAAATATTGCGCGAGAGAATACGAACTCTAATACACATATAAGAAGAAATATTATTATAACCTCATTATTTTAATGTCCAAAGGGAAGGTAAAGTAATCATAAGACATTCTTAAAAAGTTGGAAAATTCTCACTAAAATTGTGATATTTAAAAATATAACGTAATTAAAAGAAGTAGTAATAGTATTTGTTAAAATTTGTAGAGTTTTTCTTATAACAGGCCTAGTAAGCCGAGTCAAAGACCACTTAAAATTAAATAATAAAATTAATTAAATTAACATATACTGTAAAAAGTCTAAATAAGAAATGAAGAAAGAATTTAAGTACTTAAGCTTCCAACTACTTCACTTTTAAATATATCGTAATCGATGATTTGCATCTTTTTCATCTGATCCTGTGAACCAGTGACAAGTGATGGCATTGATGTTAAATGTGATTTAAGCTCCATGAGTTGGACATATTAAAAAAGAATGTATAAATAATTCAAATATTTTTACAACAAAAGAATAAATCGTATTTTAAACATTAGGTGCCTTATTTTAAATCGTCAAGTTTTATTTTATTACATTATAGCTCGTTTAAGAAATACCGTTACTCTTCTTCGATAGGTGTGAAAAAACACGAATTATGAAACAAACGTTATCTTATTTCAAATAGCATACTGTAATATTACGATCATAATTTTCTTTTAGGTTGACATAAATTACTTGCGTTAATTCTTGTAAAGCATAATACTTGTAAGGTACATCACAAACACGCAGTTCTTTATATCTCGATGAAATGAGAGCAAGCAGGAAAGCCCATGAAATTACGATGTGCAACGATCTTAATTGTACAGATCATACAGACGATCGTTATGGTATGTGCAATGAATCGAAGCGATCGTGAAGGTATCTAAGAGCACTGTGTAATTACAACGGTGTTACTAATCTAGTTCTCTAAAATGTTTCAAGACAGGCTGAATACTGTTTGCCCGTATAAACAATCTAAAACGTAGATATCCAGTCATTATACGCTTATAATGCAAATCCACGATCGTTCCATGCAAAATTGCGCATTGACTAATGAACAGCAATTTTGCCGGACTGTATAGTTAACTTCGCATTAGGATGCAAACGGATGTACCGCAGAAAACGGCCGTTGTGAATTATGTTGCATAATTTTGTCATGGATAAATCTCGATTTAAAGACAGGTACGTTTTCAGAAGCTCGATATTCTTCGACTAATTTGAGAGCTCGTTTATTTATCATTGTGTTTATGTAAAGTAGGCATGTTCTGAAGAGAAAGTTCCGGGAATATTTAACGTGCGTTTAACGGGTTTCAAGTAATTCGTAATCTGACATCTGTTTATTGAAGGAACGAAGCAGAGCACCAAATGGCGCAAGAACATATTTAGAACAGAAACTGCTTGAAATATGAATCTTAAAAAAGTTTTTAGTGCGTCTGGCTCACACGCGAAAAGATTTAATTAGATATAAATTGTAACTGAATAGCTGTGCGCGTTTGTGCAACACAAATCGTAATGAGAGAATATCCACTTGTAATTATATATTGTAAAAAATTAACCAACATTAATTTAACAGTTTTTTCTTTCATTCACGTAAATCAAATTTAAACGCAAAAACCTTGAATCAAGCGGTTGAACAATAAGTTTCATTAAAAATTGATATAATTTCGGTATTCAGCCGAAAGATGTTACATCAGAAAGCCAAGGGAGAGCTGAAAATTCCAGGGTCTTTACTGGACCCCGTTAAAGGTCACGCGATCCAGCGATTTCATCGTGCTCATCTACGTATATCGTCACATACGCCTTTACGAGCACGGCTCGTACTTCCTCCTTCCTACGAGCCTCCGCGTCGCGTCCACGGCCATGGTCGCGGCAAAGGAAATGTTGTCGTTTCCTTTGTTATTTCGCGCTCAGAGGGAGGAGAGGAGTCTCCAAGATGCCATAAGGGCTTGGCCACAATAAAATACAGCATATTTTATGATAAAATGTCAATGAATGGGTTAATAAGAATAATGTTCTGTTATATATTTATACCCTTGCAATATAATTTACAAAAATTTAGCAATGTTCAATCGGTTGCTGAAGTTAAGGCATGCGGTATTTTATTGCATATTTCTTCCATCTCATTTTTATATCTTATAGCATTGTGTCTACTGATTCAAACGAGCTGCATCGAAAGTTTTTCCCGACCACGCCGCTTGCGTGGGCGGAATCGCATATAGGCACATCAAGCAACGATTCCTCTTCGATAAGAATTTAATACGAACCTCGCAGCGATTAATCTTTACTTAAACGAACCAAGTGAATTTTTTCTCGCGAACTTGATGGCATACAATGGCACCATATAATTTTAAACATATTTAAACAAAACTGCCGGGAGTGCAATTTGTAAACTCTAAGATAAAGTTATATTTTCCCTCGAAAAAATTGCATATTACAATTAAAAGTATAGATACTTTAGTTATAAATTAAAATAAATAATATCCATTCTTCCTGCGCAACTTTGTTGCGTGATTGCAACAGAATATTCATATTTTTAATTTGTCTCGGAATGAAATTTACTTAGGATAATTGTTACCAGGTTGTACCAAATTTACAAATTACAAACGATACCGTGTTATCGTTTCATCAAAAACTACTATTACTAGATAAGAGAAGTATCAATGATGATAATAATTTAAAGAGAAACGCATATACACCTTTTGCAGCCTCCAAGAGATTCTCATACTTTCAATTTAGCAACGGTATATAAATCTCATTCCTGGCAAGCAAACGTTATCATCCTGTTACGCTATCGTGAAAGCCGGCAATTTACAAGTATCGTTATAAAATTGCCATCTTCTTGCGACTCGTTTGAATGTAAGCACGCGAACTTTCAGCTGTCGCTCTGCTTTCTACGTGCCACCTACGCTAGTGAATTAGGACCACTTACCGATCCTAGTGAAGTTTCAGAAAACACCTAACAATAAGCGGTAACACCGGCAAAATGTAATCGGTGCCGTTTGCGGCAAGTCCGCCTTTCATACGCTTACTCTCGCTTCACTGGAATCGGAATTTGGTTAAATTGCAAGTTTGTGCCGCATAGGCAATTATACCTGTCGGGCGACACTTGATCGACAAAGCCGACCACCTTCTTTTTCGTTCCGTGCACGTTGAGCGATGGCATACTACAAGAGCAACGACTTACACTAGAGAAATTGCGTTAAATTGCGTTCATTTCTCACGTAAAGTGTCAGAAATTAGGTCACTCAAAAATTAGCAAAGTAAGAATTTCATCAATTTCAAAGAGCTCAATGCTCGTATAATGACTAAAGTACGGAAAGTGTAAGGCAATAGTAGAGTTATTTGTTAAATATTATACATCATTGACTGTTCTTTGAATCGTAAATTTTAACTTACAAGTATAAAAGTATTAAAATAGAAGTATTTCAAAATTAAAGAAATTTGACAAATTCAAAAAAGCAACTAGTTATCTTTTTCTCTCGTTTAACTTCATACATTATTATTTTATTAACATCTATTTTTAAATGTACTCAGTGTAACATTAAAGAATAATATGAAATTAAAAAAATATAATTGGTATTATAATTAAATTCTTATTAAAGAAAATGTCGATGCCAAATTGATTAAAGAGTCAATTCATCATAGCGATTCTTCTGTAACATTTTGTACATAAACATTGTATTCTTAAAAGTACAGATTTCTCTGGTGAGGTACATTATGTAATATCCTAGAGTCTATTGAAAATCAAAGTTGTCTCGATTCCCAACATTACTCGCGAGAGAGCGCTGAGAGAAATTAATTTGCTCCGCGAGAATGTAGAAAACCTGCTAAATGCCGTACGACATTTTACAGATTCTTCACACGTAGACTTCAAGATTAACCGAAACGAAAGAACAAGTATCGCTCTTCCGCGTTTAGGATAATTGAAAACTTGCGGTCTGCGGTTTCTCTCGGAATATCTATCTGTATGTAAAATACAGAGGTGTAGCCGCAAGTTTACTGTGCTATATTAATAAATTGAATTTTTCTCGAGATTCGACAAAGTTATCGTTTGTCATTAGTTTAAGGTTTAATATTAGAATTTTTTTTTACCTATTAATTGCAAATCAAACTCGTAGAGATAGAAACAGACAGTAAACTTGGAACACCCTATACACATATATATGTATATGTATATAACAACGAAGAGAAAGGAACTGAAACGCGAGACAGCTGATTTTACGACAGGTAAAGTTTGGTCTACTTCGAACCATGTAACAGTTTCCGGTACACGTTTGTATAAGAAAGAAATGCACTTCCAATCACGTACAACAAAGGAACATTTCGCTAACACGCAGGACTTAATAGTATTGTAGTAAGTAGACTATAATATATCGATTTACCGTAAATACTACACATGCATCTATTTCGGTGCTTCTTCAAATTGTGTCTCTATTTTCTTCTAATAAAATTTAAATCAATTCTAAGGTAAAATTAAGCAATATAATAAAATTTTACGTTTACTATTTGCAAGACAATATCTAGGATATTATATGTCAATTTTATATCTATTACAAATATAATTTTATAATAATTAATTTATATCTACTGCATATATAATTTTATAATAAATTATGTTTATATTAAAATTATATCTCGTATATAATGCATTAGAAATATTTTTATATCATATATATTTATATACTTTGTGCGCATAATATGATTTGGAAAGCACCAATTTCTCTTACAAATTTTATTTTTACTCATCTCTACTTTCATGTTCTCGATTAAAAAGAGAAACAATTACGTAAAAATTATAATACAACTTATCGTCATTGTATTGTTGCATTATAGAATAAGTTCAAGACCTTTTATCAATTTATGTCGATCATAAACGTGTCACAGATAGTCATAACTAATCAATGTAGTAGAAGAAGTATATTATTTTAGTATATCTGTAATACTCAACGGTAATAATTGGAAAACTGTCAAACCTGCTAGACTTTGGTGTAACGATATCCCTCGTTTCGGAAGTATATTTCCTTTCCGCTCGACCCCCATTAAAGAGTTCGACGGTTTCCCTGGTAACAGTTTCCAGAAGAGGCTCACCACCTCGTCTTCCTTTACTAAAGGTCCTTTGATCCGTTTTACGCACCATAACCACCCTTGACAAGGGTTGATTAAATTCATGTCCATGCATGGTAGGAGGGATCATAGCCAGCGATTGCGAAAGAGGACCTCCGATTCGCGGAGACCTGTAACATAAATGATTATAATAATTAATAGCACATTAATGCACTTGATGCAATATACTTAAAAATATGCACAATAACTTAAACATTGCCGTACTGAATAAATGGTATATAAATCGTACAATTATAAATTTTTTATTAATTGAAACTGTTTGCAAAAAAGACATCTACTGAAAGTATTGGCTAGGTTTTAATAATTTCACCTATTTCGTTAATAATTATTATATACAAATAATATATCATTAGTCCTTTTCGCATATCTTTGATATCAGTGGATAAAAATGTATAAAACGTACATAAAAATAGATTACAAAATTATGATATTATAACATTCAATTATATGTGCGCAGATATACATGAGATTTATATTAAGTATGTCTATTTTGTTACTATTCGAACTGCTATTTTTATTTCTCCACTGTTATTTTCTCCGAATGCCATGATACCTCGCTTATTTCAACGTACGATTGCATACTGTATATTTTTCAATGTACAAGTGCACCATCAACTGCAAAACAGCATGCATTAAATAATTCACTTAAGCAAAAGGACCGATACATCGTCACTATATCGTTTCCTTTTCATGATCAATGATCACAACATGTTGCAAACCGGTTTCTTAGCGATACACGCAATTAACGTCAATTGCCGGTGACTTTAATTAATAATCGCCTTCTCTTCGAACGCTTCTGGACTTTCTTATGTGTGTAAATTAGTATCTCGTTTCCTCGCTCGTTGACGCGTGTCGCAAACGAATGATACTTTTTATCCGCCGGCGACAGCGAGAATCGAGGCATATCGAGGATTTTAATCTTCCACAAAAACTCACGGTGACACTATTGTTGTTTCGAATAATAATGACATTTACATTCTCTCTTTTTATGTAGTTATTATATAATATGTGTTTGAAATCCGTTGCTTCGAAAGCTCATTTTATTCAATGTTCGTAGAAGTTAATAGGTAAACAATGTGCAAATTTGTCGAATAAAGATTTTTTCTACGCAACAAACTGATTCAAGGTATAATCTTAAATTATTAAAAATTAAGACATTTTACTGAATGAAATTTATAAAATTTATCTTAATTCAACTTTAACACGATTAAAACTTCAGAGCTGCTTATTAAATACTATTGAAAATTTTGAAAGAAATTATTGTAGCGGCATTCAATGAAAATTTTACTTGACGTAAAATGTTATGAAAATTTCTGAAAAAAAACGTTTCTAAAATTCTATTTCTAAAAATTTGGTAGACAATTCTGTTTCACCTTAATTCGATATAATGCAGCGCCATTGTCACACTTACAGAGTTGATGGATTTTGCGAAATATAACCTGGTCGAAGTGAGCACTGGCTGTAACTAGAACGGAATAACTAGTACGAAATTCCCTTTCGACGTAAATCGTCGTTCCCGTGCGAAACTATGAATTACTCGGACGATTACGCTGCAGTATGCACGCTGAGAGTAAGTACAACGCCTAAGGAAGATCCCTCTCATTATGTCTATAGCATTCCCTCGTTAACCCATCTTAACCCTTCGTAACATCGCGAATGAGTTTTCCTTATGAGAGATAATTGAACCGTTACTTTAATAAAAATGCTGTTTCACTTTCTTCTGTTCCGAACGTCTGAATATGTAGACGTTCGTAAAAATTCTAGTATTCTTATTTTACTCTCTCTCTCTCTCTCTCTCTCTCTCTCTCTCTCTCTCTCTCTCTCTCGTACGTGAGTTTTTTTTAAATTAAATAAAAACGCCGTTAAAAAGCACATTCCATTAACTTGTATTTCCTCGTAGCTGTTTTCTGCCGGGAGCATTTCGTTCCCAGACAGCATTGCTGAGAATCAACGAAGGAAGAAACTACGTCTGTGAAAGGAGTTATTTGTAAATTTTAACAAGAACTCACGGAATTCGACAGAGAAGTTGGACAAACGCTGGTTGAAGGGCAAAAGTCGGCGATACAATTTTTTCACTAAAAAGATGTAGGAAAATATTACAAGATTGGCTTCTAATACGAGATAGCATTATCTCTGAATAAGCATTATCTATTGGTTCCACCATGAATTTATTGCCCTTGGAGTGAAATCTGATTAGTGAAAAATTGATTGTCAGATCGTGTAATTATTGCAAAAAAAGATTTGTCATTGAATCTTGACGTTGCAAACCTGCTATCTCACATTAGAATCCTATCTCGTGATAGAGGACTTTCCTCTATACATTTTAAATTGTTATTGCAGGACACCGCGATGCAACTTGAATGTCTGTTTGGAAATGAAAATTAAAATATATGGAGGACTTTCCTCTATACATTTTAAATCATTACAGGACACCGCGATGCAACTTGAATGTCTGTTTGGAAATGAAAATTAAAAGCCTTTCTCTTTGTTACTGTATGTTTGATACCAGCGACAGACACAACTGTCAATCTGCTTATATCGTCGCTTCTTGTTAAAAGTATACATTCGCACCTCTCAATGAAGTTTCGAATGAAATAAAGAACTGAAAGCAACATGGCGCGTCTTCGTAAGAAAGTAAATATCTTCGAGAGGCAAATCACCGAACAATTCACTGAAGAACCATTTCTTCCAGTGTCTTTCTGAAATTGCTCGAGCTCTCTAATGTCACTAAAGAACGTGAAATGTCAATGTTAACGATAAAGTAATGTTTCAAACCAACTTATGCCCGAAATCCGCTTGCAGAACGCAACGTCCGTATTCATGGACCATTGTTAAGCTTTTTCCTGCGAAGAAAGTCCATGACTTCCGATGGATAACGGCTCGGTGAATTACGTTAATAAAAGCCCGGCGCGCACAATTAGACTTCTTGTCCGATGCACTTTCACGGCGATCACTCGCGCGGTCAATTCGGAGCGAGGCACTTTTCGCAGCTGCGAATCCGCGCGCGCGAATTCACAACTTCAACTATCGCGGTAGGAAAGATCTCATTTCTCAAAACTTGCGCCCGCGATCACAAGAATTACCCCCTGTAATTCCTCCTTATTTTTCTTCCGTTCGGAGAAGTAAAATAATATGTAACGTTTCCTCAGAAACTATAATAAATGCGCGCGTTTTACGAATACCTATTTTATTATCCCGTTAGATAAATTGCGAGATATATCACAGAATTATTTCGCTTCAGTTTTCCAACGAGGGAGAAGAAAAGGACCGCGACGGCGATGACTTACGGTGCAAATGAGCTCGATTCGCAGAAACGTCGTTTTTAACGAAATCTCCGGCGAGGCACCATGGTGTTCTCCCACGGTGCCGGGGCGCTCCAACTATACTCGGTACAAGCCGCACGACAGAACGAACAAAACTGGCACGTCGACCACGACGGCGAAACAGAGAGAGAGAGAGAGAGAGACGGCTCCTCTCCGGGAGAGGAAAGGTGGCCAATTAGCCGTTACTCGGCGCACATGCCTCGACCAACTATCCGACGCAGCTGCGGCGGTGCGCTGTATCGCGTCGATGCACCGCGCTGCACTGCTCGCGCGCTTCGTCGGAATCACGTTCATAAACGCGCACGGCTCTCCCGCGGGTCTCCCTCCGCGGACTTGCCGCTCGGCTACTCTTCGACGGAAATTATCGGCAGCAATTTGCAAAACAATCCTCGTTTGCTTCAGCCGCGAAAGAGATCAATTAACCGCCGCGAAAAAAAAGGAGCAGAAACGCCGTTTTAGAAAACGAATTTACTTTCGCGAAATTTCGAAACAGCACCCGTCCGTTCGCTAAACCCAGTCTGCGATGTATTATAAAAACATTGTGCAATTTAATTCGGAAAATAAGACTTTACAAGCACAGTTTCATTTCCATAATTTACGACCTGTAAAATATAGAACGTGATTTAGTTATGTGTGACGCAGATGTATGGCGAAGAAGAAAGGCCGCGAAATGGCACTAAAAAATGGCTCCGTGCATGATGCGTGTAAGTTTCTTCCGCTTTCGCGACAAAGCGTGCTACTGTGCACCTCGCGGAAAGCAGCAACATAATAATTCGAGAACGAAGACGTACGGCCAAGCGTGTACCGCTATTCCGGCTGACCGGAATCACTGCTCTGGAACAACACGGTATCGTCCTCTCGCTCAGTTCAAGAGTAGAAGCGCATTGATCTCGAGCGTTTAACGCTGTCGAGCAATTACTGCTCAATATCTAAATATTAATAAATAAGCGCCGAAGATTCCATAATCCCTGCAAATGGTACACGGAGAGAATTTTCTTTTAAAATTTACCCTAAAAATCATGTAATCGTGGGACATGGCATTTTGAAGAACTTTATGAGGGTTTTTTGAAATTTTACCATACATTTTACTAGTACAGTGTATGCTAAGTATAATTACTAGTAAAAAGTATGTAAAATTTCAAAAAACTCTCATAACGTTCTTCAAAACGTCATGTTGTCCCACGATTGCATGATTTTCAGAATAAATTTTGAGAGAAAGTTCTCTCCGTGTACTTATCTAATCAGATTTAATTTAATTAAGCCGAAATAAATTTCGCTAAATAAATTTTACGTAATTGCACAAACGGTATAAGCAAGATAATAATTTTGCGTTTTCTAAAGTGGTAAAATATGTGTTCGTTTATCTGGTTTCAGAATTCCTGAACAAATATATATGTATATTAATAACATTTATATAAAAAGTTATTTAACAGATATTGTGATGATGAAATAATTTGTGTAGCACCTGTGTTATAACTTTTCCATAGCTTTCTATTGTTATGGTTTCTAATTGATTCAATATTACATCATGTTGATTGAGAGATATAAAAAAAATGTTAAATATGTGAAGTTGAAAAGTTTCAATATTAAAATGATTTATATAAAAATTTATGATGTAACAAATTTTATATAACTCCCACTATTTTATCTCTAACTCTATGAGATCTAATTGTAAGATCTAATTGTAAGAACATTCAATAACTAAATTAATTTGCGTATAATAATTTATATTATTTAGTATAAGATTTTATTAGACGAGTTGGACTAGTTTTAAAGAATCAATTATA